CCAAGACATTTGCCGATTGGGGCGTCGATATGGTTAAAGTGGACGCGTGTTTCACTCCCGTTCACACTCTAGACAAAGGGTTTGAGGACTTTAGCCAAACACTGAACCAAACGGGTCGGGCAATGGTGTACTCGTGCAGTTGGCCGTACTATCAGTTGCACACTTCGCAAGTGATTCCTAACTGGAATCTCATCGCCGATAAGTGCAATATTTGGCGCACATATCATGACATTCACACCAATTGGAAAGATATTTTGGCCACAATTGACTTCGTGGGCGACAATCAGGAGATATTCAACCGTAATGTAGGCCCCGGAAGGTTCAATGATCCCGATATGGTCTGTATTCAGGCATTTGTCTCACATTTTAATTGTTTGTGACAAACATTTCAACAAATAGTTGACATATTTTAGGCAATTTTTAGTATAAAGTAAAGCAAAGCTTGAATAAATCAATACTTAACTGTATATATCCATCACATGAGCGCACAATTGATATGTTATTGATTAACAATCGTTGATTTAATTATCATTATTTTATTTATATTTTTTAATGTCATCTCAAATGAGTCACACAATTGCTGTGAATTTATATTTCCTTATAATTTATTTAATAAGTTATAAAACTATAACTATTTTTTCAATGCATTTATAAATGAAAATTAAAGGAAATATTTTGTGTAAACTTTTTTTCACACATCACTTAATTTACTTTAAAACGAGTGCTAATCGTATGATTTGTTTATTGTGTTAACAGCTATTGATTGGTAACGAAGGCCTAACAGTGGACCAGTCGAGGGTCCAAATGGGCATTTGGTCCATAATCGCCGCCCCATTATTCATGTCCAACGACTTGAGACATATCGGCCGTGAATTCAAAGACATTTTGCTAAACAGGGATGTGATTGGTGTGAATCAGGACCGTATGGCCCGACCGGGCGTTCGGGTCTTTCACAACGAAACTCTTGACATTTGGTTGCGTCCGATATTACCGGAGAGGAAGGACACAACCGGTGACCAGACGTCATATGCCGTGGCGTTTGTGAACCGACGCACCGATAGTGCCATTAGTATTGGCGTCCGATTACAAGAATTGGGACTCAAATACAAGTATTTGTTTCGCGATTTATTTGACACCGAAAACAATGTTTGGGAACCGAAAGCAATGACCGGAACCGACGAAATACACGTAACCATACCTTCGACTGGCATTCGGCTCTTCAAAGCAGAACTCGATATCTCTTCTCAATCTCAAGACAAACAGTTATAATNCAATAAATTAACTCATTATTAATTAACGAATTGAAATACACTGTAATTACGATTAAATATTTTCTGTTTTATTGATTAGTTATTTACTACCAGTATTTTAGCTCTCATTAAAGACGAGATTTTTCGGGTGTAAAAACATCCAAATTCGGGAATATACATGGTCAAAATCGGGAAAATTCGGGAATTACGTTTATACTGAATTTTCAAACGATAATTATGCAATTAAGTGATTCTAAAACGGTCTATGTACACTTATGACGCAAAATAATGACATTTATTAAGGTAAACATAATTGCCGAGTATATAAATACGCTGGTTGTATCCATTGTTTTATATTGTCAATAAGCATCATATCCATAAGCATTGGTTTTATCTATTCCAGTGTAGTAAAATATAAGTTTATCGCAGATTAGGTAAATTTTGCAGCAGGTTTTGGTATTAATTCAGCAAATTTATTAAAATTTTAATTTAAAAAGTGTATTTCCGGGACTATTTTTAATAAAATAGTAGCATTTCGGGAGTTTTTCCAAAAATATGCCAAAATCGGGAATTTTCTCAAAATGTGCCAAAATCGGGAATATTCGGGAAAATAAAAGTGGTATATTTTTACTCCATTATAACCCCTAAGACTAAATGGATGATATTCCCGAGCATTCTATTAACTAACTTTAATCGGGAATTCCCGAAGAATCTCGTCTTTAATAATGACTACATGCGAACAATTGCGAACAAAGGGGGGGGGAGGGGGTCTAGATTTCTCAAAAAGTGCGAACGTTATATGTGAACAAAGCCTATATGTTTGTGATAAAACAAATACAGTGCAAATAATGTCATAAAATGCATATCTGTAACATTTAAATAAACATTGTTACTTATTTCTTAACCAAGATAAGTTCTATTTAAATTATACTGTATTGAAGTCTACTTATGTTTAGCTGCAATTAAATTAGTGTTAATAAATTGTAATAAACTAGTTTAATGATTTTAAAATAATTGTTTTGCTAAAATAAATATTATGCTCACTGTATGCATGCCTTAAATATTCGTTTGAAAGTTATAATATTAATACTTTAAGTTTAATAAATATTATTGAATGTAATAATAAAATGTACTCAACAAAATTTTGAAAACATTATGTAAAAACATTTTACCCATCAAATAATAAATTTTCCCATAAAGTAAAATTTTCATACTGAATAATGATGATTATTATGTTAGGTTTTGATTATAAAAGTTTACTAACATTATGTTTATAACTTTTGTATTACAATTATTTTTTAAATTACTTGTACAAGAAATATTGACAGTTATTATTGTACCTGACTATGCAATTTATTTTTGACATTATCTAACAAATTTTGCATTTTATTAATATCAGCTTGAGTCGGCACAGGTTTCGTATAGAGAAACGTGTCAAAATCAACTAATGTAATAAGCAAGGTATTTTTATCCACCTCGGCCAAATTCGCACAATTAATCATATGTTGTATATTCTTGTAATCGAGTTCCATTTGATTTAATTTTTGAGTTAAACTAGTTAGTTTTGGTTGCATTTCGGTGTATCGGTTGTCTGGCAAAAACGAAGGGCCACCTAGGTATAAAATATACAGTATTTTTAAATATTGTTTAATTATATTTTTTAACATTTACCTTCTCTTCTTAATTTGCGTAAATGATGGTAAATCATCCATTGAGGTACTATTGCATCAAGATGAGTGTAATGCAAATGAGCTAGACCATTATCTGGTAATAGTTGCTCAAATAATTCATAATTGTCGGGAACGGTGTTGACAACGTGGTTAATATCAAAATTTTTACCAATTTTATACCTGCAAAACGGCTCAACAAAACTATCTACACAAACAATAGTAGTAATTAGTAATTATTACGTTTATAATTATAACCATATTTACCTTGATAAGTAGCATTAATACCATCACCGGTAGCCACAACATTGACCCCGTAATATCCCGGTTGTGAATATTGGGTAAAATAATTATAATAATAACCGTTCGGATGATATCTATTTAAAGGTAACTCAATCCCGCCGTTAAGAACCGGTCCAACACTGGCTGTGAGTTGTGCGCCGACTATCGGAGCACCCGATTGGTGCAGTCGAGCGACAATAAGTGGCGGACAATCACCGGAATCGGGAACTATTGTTCCGACATTCAACTTAATAGCACCCGTAGTATTGGCATCACTCTCAACAACAATATGTGCATTTATTTTATCGCATTTATTATCATGCTTAATTAATACTATATTCCATTCACCATGCTCACCAGCATCTAAATCCAAATTGTTTGTATCGTAAGTTATATCTGAAGGCGACTGTATCTGTACTGATAAAGAGTTTATGTTTTGGCCGCTAATCCTAAACTTTAAGGAATGGGGGGCTATATCTGGGTCAATAGGGAACGAGACAACCCTTGTTGGTTGATCATTGTTTACCATGATCACTTTGTCAATTACCGTGATTACAGTATAGGGTTGAATACGACTGGAAACACAGTCCAGTTGATCAGTGGTCACATCCCGGAGCATATCGTCTAGTATTGTTTTAAATACATTGTGTACAGCAATTAAAGCATCGGTATCTATGGCTGGTACGTAATATGTGTGCCCACCGGTGGCAGTAGCTAAATAGTCTAGCCGCTCACAGTGGTCTAGGCCAATTCCCACGCAGGTCAACAATATCTAAAGAAAATCATTTAATAATACCTTAAGTAAAAAATAATTATTTGATAATAAAACCTCTGAATTTAACAATTGCGGTAAAACACGTTTGGCATAATTATTGTCACCGACATTATTCTGACCACCAGTTACTAAAATAATCTGTGCCGAATTGGTTGCAATATTAGCTTTTCTCAAAGCATCTAGACCACCCAATAGCCCACCACCGACATCGCAATCACCATAAGCCTTTAAGGGTACGCAATGATCTAGGTCATTTCGTTGAGTCCGGTTGGTTATATGGTCTACATTGTGAACTGTCCATGGTGTATTATTAAATAAAACCATGCCCACATGATTGTTGCGTAAATAGTCCCAATTGAAACCCCGCATGAATTTCGAAACGAGCATGTGCAAAATTTCACATTTTGTACCCGACATACTTGCTGATACATCAAGTACAAACACAGTAGCTTGTCTCATTTTATTTAAAAATTTAATTGTTTGGTAAATATTTGTTTTAACATACGTAGTTTATATTATTACTAAAATAAGCAAACACAATTTATAAATTAAATTTATTTATTTACAACATAACAACACAAAAATTACAAAAATATAGCAACCAATACCAACGTTATTATCCAACGTAGATATCATTATAGATATACTGTACTTTAAACACAATGAATTTAGTTTTATTACTACATATCTAAAGAATTTAGCTTAAAAGTTACAAACAAAACAAATCAAGTATGAGCAAGATCAATTGAGGGCTTTTTTAGTTAGTTTTGTTTTTAATACAGTGTATCGGTAGCGTTGTCAGAAATATTTTGGCATTTCCTGGAAAATCAGTGTTTATACAACTATTGTTAGCAATATTTATTAATATCATTGAAAACACACTAGCACATACCTATTGAGTTTGTCAAATACTATTTTTACAGCTCATTTATCCAAAATTTACTTCCTGGATTTTTCAATGTCCAGGAATTACCCCTCCCTGGACTCTGCAAAAATTATCTATTTCCTGTATAATCCAAGACGTTCCTGGACGTCTGGCATCCCTAGCTATATGTGAATACCTGTAAAGCCTATCCAACGCATTGTGTAATCACAGAACAACTTATACCTTATACTGTTTGCATACTAGCTGTATAAGAATCCCAATCAATAACTGTTATATTATTGGGCTAAATGATAATGTATTATATTAGCCCAGTTGCCGTGTAGCTAGAATCTTGGAATTGGTCTCATTATTTAGGCTCACATTCATAGGCACCAGAATCCGAGTTTCATCAAAATCGTATACTTATTGTTGACACAGGAATTTTTTGAATGAAGTAGGGCAAAACAATGTATTCCTATGGGAAGGTACCAGTTTTCGTATTTACCGACGGTTGAAATCGTAGTAAAATTAACCACGCTCAAACAATAATAGACATAATACAAAATGGTTACTCTTGTGAAAACTACATCATGTATGGAATCTAACCATAGTCTAATCATTGGCCAACATTGACCGCTACCCCAACTGTGGCCACACAAAAATCGGTAATTAACCCGATTGGCAGCCTGTGTTCGGTCGGTTCGCAATTGATTCCCGTTATAATCGATGTCATGATATCTGCACTAAACTATTGTCTGATAACTAATAGTGAATTTCAATAACCAAATAAGCACTTCAAACACATCTTTGATAAAAATATTTTCACTTTAAAAATGTGATAATTTTTCGTCAAATATTTTGTTGTAAATTTTTCAAAATAATTCCGACCGACAAACTTTGAAAAAATCTTGTTCATAAACTATTCATCCAATCTTGATGAAACTTGGATTCTGGTGCCTAGAGATGTCAACTTAAATTATAAAACCAATTTCAGAATTCTAACTACACGGCAACTGGGCTAAGCTAATACAATATCATTTAGCCCAATATAACACATTGTTTTTTAAAAAGCAAACCAATTGTATCAATCAATTAATTTAAGACAACATGCTTATATTTCATATTTATTTTCTTAATCATTATTTAATATTGTAAACAACAACAAAATTTTTATTACAATACAAAATAGTATTTTTATATAATCTATATTATTTTATAATATAAAAAGCGTTAGAAAGTTATTAGGACAGGCAAACTTAAGTTTACAAAACAAGCTTATCATGAAATAGTGATAATAAAGTTATTATTAAATAAGAGCAAATCACTTGAAAAATAAGTGATGATAATTATTGTAATTAATCAATTTAATTTTGTTATAAAAGTCAATAAAATGCTCTATTTAGTAAGTTATGATGTATACGGCTAGTTTA